CGGTTCACCGTATCAAATGCTTTGTTGAAATCAACAAACAGCGAGTACAACGGCTAGTCGCGTTCTTTACACATCACTTGCACCTGAGGAGAAGCCAAAACCTTATCGATAGTGCTGCGACCCAAACGGAATACACATGGTTCTTCCGCCACATTCGGTTCTTCAACCTGACTGACGAGGTCGTTGAGCAGGACTCGGGTAATCACCTTGCCCACACAACTCAGCAAGTTGATGTCACGATAATTCGTGCAACAATACTTGCTACCTTTGCACTTGTACAGTGCTAGCATAAGCGCATCCCACAGCTCAGGAGGATATTCGTTGTCAATCCACATGTGTGGCATCAACTGGTGCAGCGCAGTCATCAAAGCAGGTCCGCCGTGTTTCAATACTTCAGGCGGGATCCCGTCTGCAGCAACACATTTGCAGTGTTGCAGATGAGCAAGTGGTCTCCGCGTCTGATCCACTGATGGTGTGTCCGCCAGACTCGTTTTCACATCGTGCTGCTGGAGGTCGTTTAATGTAGACCAGTCAAACTCTGTATGGTTGAACAAGAGATAGTCAAAGCGTTTTGCCAGATCTGCATTATGCATGCAGTCTGTGTGCAGTTAGCGCTTGAGCTACCATCGATTAGCGTCCTCAGCGACTCCAAACTCTTTCCACACCCCGCCTTCAAGGAGGCAAAGAATTCCCTGTTTTGCGGGCATTCGGCATAGCATTTCAACTGCTCCGCCTTCTCCGAACAACTTGTAGATTTATCCGAGGGAACACTCAAGTCAGTCGTCCAATTTTCCCAACATTGTTGTTCTTCCCCAAGTCACTGGGGTCTGCCACATGTGCCGCAAATGTTGGATTGGTCTCAAGTACCAATGCGCCAATCGTCGCATATTTTTTATCAAACCAAGCAGCACACTTACAGTTTCGCGCGCCAGATGATCATCTTGACAAAGACTATAAGCTGGTTGCGAATGTGATGCTACGGGTCGTCCACTGTAGCTATGCCTTCCACATCACACAGGCGTACGGCTATCGCGTTCTCCAAGTCAATACGTTTCTCCACATTACGGAAGGATGTTAAATTTACGCCGATTCACGGCGAGAGTGCAATACATAGATTTACTAAAATATATCCACAATTTGGTCTGCACCAATTTGTGAGCAGTGCCACACTCAATTCCACGCATTACGAATGTCATGTGCACTTCACGCATATCACATGATGTACGAGGCAATTGTCAAGCAAGTGAGCGTGACCAATCCATGGCTGCGTCCAAGTTGCTATGTCAATCGCACTAACTGCAAATCATGTGTTCGTGATCTCCAGGCCGTGAGCGGCACACAGTGAGAGCAGCCTGTCACCGTTCGCATTCGCTGAACCAATGCCATGCACGCCGATAACATCTGTCCACGCTGATGTATCACGTCCAACGCGCGCGTTGAAATCACCCAGCAGAAATAGTCGGTCGCTCCTCGGCACAGACCGTATCACGGAGGATAGCTCAGTGTAGAACTGATCATGCTTGTCATCAGGATAACACATGGTCGGACCGTACGTGCTGATAAAAGTAGCAAACTTACCTCTTCCGAGTCGTAGGCGAACAGTCATCAGTCGCGCGCTGATGCCCGTTGGTTCACCCACCAGCTGGCCATGGAGGCGATCGGATATTGCAAATCCGACCCTATGTTCACGTGGTGCTGAGGTGGCGTTGCTTACCCACTAGAACATGTAGCCAACACCTGCTTCATGCAAAGTACCTTGGTCTTCGAGCCGGGTCTCGCTGATGGCCGCAGTATCAATGTGGAAACCCGCCAAATCCATCACGGCCAGTGCAGTGCATCGCTCGGGGCTCTCAATCGAGTTCCCGTCCAGCAGTGCGTGCATGTTCCAATGCCCGATGGTGAGTGTTTTGCGCGCAGGCATAGAAGCGCATTGATGGTCAATCGAAGGTTTGCTTGAGGGACTCCGCCCAGAGCCTTTGGCACAATAGCCTGACTCACAAGGCAGTGGGTTGCTTGGAGGTTTGCTTGAAGTACTCTACCCGGAGCCTTAGAATCAAAAACCTGACCCACAAAGCCACGGGGAGCAAATCCAGCTAGGAAATATGATTGTAGAGACAGATTAAAATCTGCTTGAGAACTGTCACATGCAGCCTTTGAAGATCTGGAACGATTCATTTATATTTTGCGACCAATGTAAGATACACACTGGCGACCACGGCCAGACGCATGTGGGCTTTGGTGTATTTGCACCCATTTGTATGTGGGTTGCCTGACTTGAGACGGGCAATAGCAAACCAATGAGCATTTGGAGGTTTAATCCCGCTGTCAAAGACAATGCGTGGCGCTCGTGCTCTACACCAATCTAGCGTATGATTATAACCCGTACACCCGTTGTCTCCCATGGCAAGGTTTTACGAGAATGAGGCATTCGACGACTTACTATCCTCCGAAGAGGATGGACTAGGATAATGGTAAGGCACCCACATCTGACAGGAGAACAACTCGGGTCCTAAGCCAAAGCAATTCAATGTGTACTCGAAAGGTATCGGGTTTAGCACATGGTCATTTCACTGACTCATGCGGACTAGTGTCCTGGCTCAGCCTCAGTGTACAATAGACTACGAAAGGAAGGAAATCAAACTACGTGCTCCTCATCCATTTGTTTAGCATGGTAATGAGGAAATCGATATTTGAAAAAAATAGTTGCATCAACATAAACCCGAGTATCACCGTATTTTATATTATTTTTTTGTTTCCGTTACCCCCAATTTATTCTACGGGACTTGTACATTTATTGCGCTTTTGTCCGTCATATCATCATTGTTGCACATTGCCTGAAGGTGAGCAACAGGATATTTATATATGAACGAAACGTACTACATCATATCAACTTGAGGGGACGTGAAATTTTCTAGGAACTAACATCCATATATTTGGATTGAAGGCAAACAGGATACCAGTACAACGGAGACAAAAGTAGCAAAATTAGCCATTTCTATAATCTTGATCGCCAAGACTTCGCGCGTGTATAATAGGTCCACTCACTAAATCTATGCCAACGGAGTAAACAAGTAATGTGTCAGCTGTACGTAGTAACGGCGCTTCGCTGCCGCGCGACCACCACCAGTCGCACGCGGGCTGACTATACCGCAAGGACAACTTCCGGTACGCGGATTCAAACCAGCGCCGCAAGATTAAGAGACAAGCTTGTTACCACTAGGCAAATAGTCGACTGTTAAAGAGCTCACGTGGGTCGGCCAGACAGATAGTAAGTAAAAATAGATTGGTTACTAGCGAGCGTGTCTGTATGTCAGTTCAGAGTTTTCAGCTAACCGCACAGCACATATGGATCGATGGACGTCGAGCAAGTGTGTGGTAAACTGAGTGAACTGGGTAGAGTTTTCCGGACAGTGGTTTGTAACTTCGATTTATGCGAGCACACGTTTACACGCAGTGTCGCTTCTGTCTTTTTCTATGCACCTAGAGTAATGGCATTCTTTTCGTTATTTGCGCCCTATAAAAATGCCCAAAAGGATCTTTCACGTCTTACTTCAGTTGACATCCCAACATAATTCCGGCAATGATCGGCAAAACGAATTTTGGTTGTTGCGCATATTACCGTAATCTGGGAACCCAGCGTCTTATTTAACTGCTGTACAACCCCTGGCTTTTGAAGGAATTGCGAACAATCGATCGATTTATTTAACCGACAACGTACCACCTTTGATATAAAAAGCTGGCTAGCCGAACAACCTCCACTTGGTGATAGCCGGGTGATTCGGGTTAATCCCGCTCCAGCTAATAGTTCGGCGGAAGTGTTCCAGTATGTGGTGGGTTTTCACCTGGCAAACCTTATACCTACAAAAAGCCACATATCTGCTTAAGAACACGGTGACGTGACGGATATGACTAGCCACTGCGTCTGGCCACATCGGAGAAACTCACACATTTCAGGTACATCAACCACTTCCAAAGTTTTCATCTGATCCACTCCTATATTAGCGAATTTGTCGCACAAACTCACAAATTAACGGTACTAGTAACAAGTTCACTCAACATAACGACTTACCCATGAACGCACATAACTGCTACACATATATAAAAAGATATATTTAGTATGTACTGGTTAATTTGCAACGTTTCCGTACCATTACTGATACCACCCGTTGTATTATCAGGATCACGTCTTTTAAGGCGTGTCTCGCACCGTCGATAATAAACCATTTATTTATTTATTCAGTTAGTTAGTTGCCCAAGCGAATTGGTGCATGGTTGGTGTGACATTTCAGCTAGTGATAACAATAATCATGACAACGGAGGATTGAGTCAGGGGACTGCTTCCGGCACACGCGTAAAAGTTCTAGCGAGTGGTAAACTTACAGTAAACCAATCCAGGAAATTCGTCATCTATCGCGCTACCAAGTACGACTTTGGTAACCATCGTTATATATCCTGACTCACATATTGACGTTCGTCAGTCTGAATGCATTAAGATTGTTTGTTAAGCAGTCAAGAGCTCCACCACCTACACTCTATTAATATAGGTGTTAAAGCTAGTGATTCCGATCGCCGCGGTAAGTAACGTCTGGGTTTCGCTCACAAAACTACCCTAATGAACTCGACATGATCAGAATCGACTCCGTGTCTGGGCCCAACACATACACAACTACGGTAGTCTCCCAACATTTTCTTTCTAATGTCGACACCGCGGATATTTTTTCACCTGAAACAGTTCAAACAAATGCTGAAGGTTGCTTTGACATTTGTATACTGTTTATTTCATTAACGAAGCGTGAGTAGACTCCTGGATTTGAAATCTGAGGAGAACGTAACTGTGTCGATGGCAGTTGGGCTTTTGCAGTAACGCTACCGCATGTTTGAATAACGAAAGCACGGTTACATTTGGTGAATCCAATAATTTGGTTTATATTGCCTGCTAGCTGTTACCGAGTTTCGGCTATTATATCTACGCCGTCAGACATAATGCGTTTGGAACTTACAGTCAAAGTGTGGATCTCAAGATGTGCCTTTCTTCCAGGTGTTACAGTTATTCTCCAAACGCAGAGCACTTGATACTTCTGGTACCCAGTGTATCAGAAGTTCCCAGTGGTTCCATTCAACTCCTTTCCACAGTTATCTGAAACAATATTTAATTTATATGAAGCATCAGATAAGTTAGCTCTCACACATGCATGTCTTGATGAGCTATGTTATAGAGAGCTGGCGGTGTGAAAATTGGGAGTAATTTCAAATCTGAGTGAAGTATATTCTGTAGTTGAATTATGCAGGGATTTAACCTGGTTTGTAGGCGAATAGGTAAGGATATCACAAGGTGAATTTTTTTATCTAGACCGGTAAAATTCATTCTGAATTAGACTGCGTGTACACATGAGTGGAGGCGCAACGTAACTTAGACATGATCAACGAATCCATAAGTAAGAAGTAATCATTGACATCAGTAACATCTAAGTAAATTCGCTGAATTGAGCTGGGTAATTTGTGTGAAACTTTAGCCCAAAAATCTCAAAGGCCAACATTCAGGGGAGTCAATTAAATCTTTTTGTTTATGATGATAGTGTGGAAGAACACACTTGCAGAATGTTTTTCGTTGTTGTGAGCAGTATATTTAAGGTTGCAGTTGAATGCAGTATTAGTCGAAGCCATTTAAGTGAATGTGCATGCAAATCAGTCGTCGAAGTCCCGCGTGTCCTCAATGTTCTAGGTCTGAAGGTCAAGCGTGAACGTCAAGGACTAGCAAGCCGCACAAAGCGGGTGTTTGAAACTGAACGTCGCATGTTTGTATGTAGCCTCTGGGATTGTGGTTGTACAAATTTTTAACTTGAAAACAATCGAAAAGCAAAAAAATGTCTACAGAGTAAGATGACGCGAGCCTGTGTCTTAAGCTTAAAAATTTTGATTCTGTTCCTGGCAAAATATCAGCAAATACATATACAGACTTAGTTAGTGGACTGTTAATGAGGCGAAAGATGAGTTTCCAATTGAACGAATAATGCTTCCACACTGAATTAAACAAGGCGATCTGATTACTTGTAACAAATGGGACAAGTATGTTCATGGAATATCTAATAACCTACTGCTTAGAAGGATATATTTGTGTAGTGGCGGGAACCAAAAGCGTATACTGATTTGTTAATGCTTGCTTCCGCATGTGATCATGTAGCATGTGAATCACAGTTGATGGGAAAAATGTGCACTGAGCTTTGCAAAACTGGTCAACTAACCTTTCTTTGGCATCGGTTTTGTTGGTTCTGTACGCAAGAAACAAACAGGTGCGGTTATCTGTTGTGCATAAATCTAATTACAATATGTGCGACTTCACGCAGTGACAGGCGAAAAGAACTATAATCGGACTTCCAAAAGAGAACCGGAACGCAACTTCATCTCTTGCTGCCTAGGTAATTGTTTTAGTTCCATAGCTAGGATAGAGAGTATGGTCGTAATCCTTTTCGTGCAGTGGACAGACGACCCAACATAATCGTCAACGGTTGGTGGCACGCAAACTAGTACAAGCAAACCTTCACAGACAAGCAACAGTCGATTAATAAGCCGGTAGTGCAAATTAATGATTCAAAGAAGAAGGTTGAGGACGTAGGTGATGAGGTGACTCAGTCATTTCGTGCAAGCTCCTCAGCCACAATTCATGCAGAAATCATACATGTACAAAAATCGCGGTCATATGAGGTCAATAGTTAGGCAATCCTTGGTCAATCGTCACGCCTCACACTACCACGGCACGTTGAGAATCATAGTCAACTGTTTCTGTACACAAAGAAGCAGAAGCTCTCGATCGACGACGATAGTTTCCAATAGCCTGTGAATGTGGGGTCGCTGAATATTGAATGCTGTATAATAGAGCAAGTGGAAATGAATTCTGTACAACTCTCTCGAAATATGGTGAATAAAGCTTTTACAAGTTGTCAGCTGTGAATATCGTAATCGTTCTCATGTAAGATTTAAAATAGCTGATTCAAGATATTGCAAGACTCACAAACATGACATATCATCGTAAGTGTGCAATCATTCTCTGAATCGAATAGTGGTAAAATATAAATCTAACAACGTTTTGAACAGCTGCAAAGATGTTGCCTCCATTACATGTTCAGGTAAACTGTTCCAATTATTTACCACTCTCCGTTTGAAGCACAGTGGGAGGGGAACACATTTCACATCCGGCACGACAAGTTTGTATCTGTGTTTGCGTGTACTGCATGGCCCTCGTAAGTGAAGCAATCGCCTCAGCATGGGGAAGTCACTGAGATGTAGAATACGATAGGTCATAATGAGGTTGATTCGCACCCGACGGTAGGACAAGGTGTAGAATCTTAGTTTCTAGCACTGGTCTTCGTACCCCAAGCCAAGTAAGCTCGGGATGAGCCTGGTAGCAACGTGTTCGACACGTTTGATCTTTTGTGCCTCGCCTCGGGTAATCGGAAAGTAGGCGGGAGAACCATACTCTAGCATTGGTCTTATGACGGAAGAGAAGAGGCAAGTAGCAACCTCCCTAGAATGTGTGCCGAAGCTACGCTTGAGCGCCCAAAGCATGTGCAGTCCGTTACGATGTAGCCTGTTCATGTTGTCCAGGGACTTCAAATCCTAACGCAAAGGTACACCAAGTCCTATGCATCAGCCTATCCGCTTATCACACAAAACTCTAAAGGCAGACTCCCGTTCTAGTAAAGTCGTATATTCCCGTTCTATTCACTTGCCCCTATGGTGCAAGGTCTATTAGAAATACGACCACGGGTTTTTAAGTTGAATCGGTGCTTGTTGCCCGAGGTTTCTAAGAAGGGGCGTGGTCGGATGATTTAACAGTGCCAGCATAGAGCTCTCGTTTCAAAGTGGACACGAAATCCGACCAGCTAATTTATTCAAAGCCTTTTCAAATTTTTCTAGTCTGCTCCCAACATGTCGCAACTAAAGCTTGGAAAACGCCTCCTAAGAACAGCTGAGGCTATTGCCATCAGAATAATGAAACCGGAGTTATGCAAAGAAAAAGCCCTTGTGCAAACGCTTTTCTTGCCATGGCCAAGCGTCAAATCCTTAGCGTCCGACCGTGGCGGCAGTCAAATGCGATCCCCATCGCGCTATCAGCTGTCGTCTCGCCTGTCTTCCGCTGGTCGACAAGACTATGGAGCGAATGTGATAGTATCGTTCAACTGCTACACATTCACCTATTCTCATTCCTGCATTCATTGGATTACCGCGTTGAGTATTTTTGTATTATTATTATATATATGTCCCTAATGAGAAGTATGAAAAAATGAAATATCCGCAATATTGAGTCTTTATTTTGCCTGTAACATTCATTTGCGTTATTTACGAATTTCATACCAAGTCATCATGCTTGTTTCACAGCATAGGAGTCTAACATCGAGGCAGAAGCGCCGGTTTCCGTGTCAGCAAAAGTGCGATTTGACTATGCGGCTCAGCGAGCCTGCTGACGGGATCTTGGCAGTTTGAATAAACGGTTTTCTGTTTGAGTTGCCGTCTTTTAGCAGGACCATAAATTTATCAACATGATGACTTACTTGATCCTCTAACTGAAATAATGGAAATACAAAGTGGAAGCATGAGTAGACCGGCCAAAATTTATCCAGCATGGTGTAATCAATCAGTTATAATCCAAAATACGTGTACAATATCCATGAATAGCGCACAAATGTTCTATCATTGAGATACTCCGATTGGCCGCCTTATGCTTTCAAGACGAAAACTAAACTTTAACTATAGTTTTATGATTTTGGTATCTACCCACTGAATGTGAGTGCCATATGAGGATGCGTCTAGGAATTAGCTGAAATTTGACTACAATTTTACTTTTTGCAGGGGAAACTTGCATCTTTCATCATTCGAAGCTCGAAGTATAGAGAGTAAGCTATGCTATCCAAGTCCAGTGCCATGAGTTTGTAAAGGCTTCGCAAGTACAGATTATTAGGCACACGTACAGCTGCCGCACTATCAAAGGGAATTCACCTGTGCATAATGTGCTGGGTCATAAAGAGTTAAATTAGTTGGTGGACGATGTGAGAGGATGAGTGGAAATAGCATCCTAGATCGGTCTTTACAAGACAAGCCCTTAAACTTACATGAACTTGGAGATTACACGCCTAACTAGTTCCGGCTTCTACACCATGCTACGGTTGCTCGCACAATAGGCACGTTAGTCTTACACTGATGGACATTGAATAATGGCGTTATCGGTGTTAAGAAGCGATACTTTACATACCTCGTTGGGTAGTCTGGTGGGTTTTCGAAAAATCCTAATGAAAAATGCAGTTAGTAGTTCCACTCTCAACAGAATGGACTAAACGTATGTAATGCAGTAACCTTGAACTTCGAATGTATTTCCATAACTTCAATGGGCGAAACAAATAAATCCAAGTCATTTCCTTGGAGTAAGATGGAGTGTAGCGTTAATAACCAGGTGTACCATGTGGAGCACGTCATTTAACCGACTTTTAAATATGGCTAGCATTGGTGCAAAAATAGAGAGCGTACCATGAATAGCACACACGAATGGAAATAAATTTTCTACTGCAAGCCAGGCAGCTCCATAGTTCTAATTTCCAGGAGTGGCCACTATGTTTGTTGTTACTGCAGAGTTTCAGTAAAGAGCGGCACACATGGTTTGGTTGTGTAAAACCAACTACGTCATAATCAAGTCGCCTGGCAGTCGACGATACCGGCCGCCTAATACCCAGTATCAGCCTCTGCTCGTATGGAGGGTAGCGCATTCCAAAAACATAATTGAAGGGGTGACTTTCTGCTTGGTCCATTGTAGTAAGGTGGTGTTTCAGCCAGACCTGTCCGGCTTCGATTGCATATTCGGCATGCGGGCAAACTTACACATACAGTATCTGTCTGAAAATATTTGTCTCCAGTTGCTCGAACGCCCGTCGTAGCAACCCGACTTGTTCGTTATCAATCTTTGAATGCCTTCGCTGATTGCTTGGAAGAAGTCAACTTATCCTGTACAAGCACGCCAAGGTCGCGTACGACGGATGATCGCTGCAGTACTTGCGTTCAACGGCTGTAAGAATACGTAAGTTGGTGTCGTATGGAGTACTTTGCATTTTTCCAGGTCCAACTGTAACAGATTTCAAATTTACCACACATGTCTCATGGGTAGGTGACACTGAAGTACATGACCATCGGAAGCAGCCGGAAACGTGCACCATGTCTTGTTATCATCAGCAAATAGCAGGAAATTTGAACCGATTTTCCCTGAATACCAAAAACCATCGTGGACATAGAATTAAGCCCTGGGGCACACCAGTATCGACCGGTATGGGTTCTCCGGTATGGGTACTCCGGACTTTGAACGCTATTTGTCGTTGCAATTGAAAGCTGGCGATCCATCTCAAGAGGGTTCACCGAACCCGTAATATTGAATCATGGAAGGGAGAATCAAATGTGCTGAACCATCGAATACCTTCGATAATTCCAAGTAGATCACATCAACGGCCACTGCAGTGTCAGCTTACTTGGTCCAACCACTAGGTGTCATTAATCAATGCGTTGTGCGCGAATCTTTTCGACGAAAAACGTATTTCTCGGTAACAATAAGATTACAGTGTTCTAGATAACATACCGAAGCGTCGGTAACGATGGGTTCCATGAACTTTGACATTACATGGATAGGACACACTAGACGGTAGTTTGAGGGCACAGTCCTGCTTCCGCCTCTGTGAACCGTAGTTCGTATTCCAAGTTTTCACATCGCAGGAATCTGGTTCTGGTCCAAACAGTTCTGAAATAACTGGGTAAAGATTTTGCCAGTTGTCTTGCTGCTGTTCCCAGTGCCTCTAGGCGAATGATGGAGGTTCCCGACGAGCTGCGTTTGCGTAGAAACGGTAGCTTCTCTAATACAGCTTCCTAAGTAAAAAGATATGTGTGCGTCCTGTGGGTAGGAAAACAAAAGTTGGAAGATGGCTTGATTGTACGAGTCGCTGACATGTGGAAGCATATTGCGTCCCCAACGCGTATGCTGCTTCTATGGCTGTTCTAGTTAGACCATCGGTCGTCCGTCGCGCTGGAATTCACTGCTTCATCTTATGATGGCCATTGACATACTTGTGAAGCAGTTTGTGGTTAGCACCAAAGTTTTTGCCATATTCTGCTGATATGCGACGGTGTCATTTCTGAGCAGTTGTGTGCAGCAATTACGATGGGGTATGTAGTTGTAGCAATCACCTGGCGTTGGTGATGATCTCGCCTAGCTACGTTGCGTACCGTCATCCATTTTCCAGTTCTGCTATTCAAGCAAAAATACGGTATTAGTCATTTGAAATTCCTTGTCTCTGAGGCATCCGTAACCAGTTGTTTGATTTTGTTGACGAATTCAAGCCAAGCGATTTCCAGATGGCACTCAGCGATGAATAACTAGGTTGTGGCACCGAAGAGCTGTGCTAAGCGGTCGCAGCGCATAATGGTGCACACCATCCCAAGGTTCTAGGGGCGATATTCCGCATAGCAGCTTAAGTCGAAACTGATGGGTGCATGATCACAACGATCCAAACGGCATTCTACGATCAATACATCAGTCATATGTTCCACCTTGGTGAAAATACGATCCAGCAAATTCGATCTATTACCTGTCCTGAAACGAGTGGGCGTCATGACATGATTGTAAATTGGAACATTGGTTATAAGCTCTTGCAGAGCTGCTTTGAATGACTCTCCGATTGTAAAAGGCGTCTCTAAATAGTGTACATTGAAATCACGAATGATAAGAATGTGAGTGTTCATTCGCTTTAAACTGCATTTTATACTTGTTGCCAGGTGGCAACCCATTTCCTGAATGGAGTTTGTGGTGGGATATTAAAGCTATTAGACAAGTGATTCTACTATGCAACTGCAGAGGCACCAAAAAGAATCACCGAACTGTGAATCTAAATCCTCAATGGCTTCGCACTGTAGGTCGCTTCGGTAGTAAAGAATTATCCCTCCTATTTTTGTAAGACTGTTGTTTCGTATGATTTACATGCCCGGCAGTGCGATTACAGCGTATGTCATTCACTTTGAATCCATGTATCAGTTAGAGCCTTGCTAAAGCATGTCTTCGAAATTTGACGATCTTTCACTTCGGCCAGCTTACTGAAAAGGCCTTGAGCACTAGTATAAATGCATGATAGTTTCTCGGTCCCTAGGAGCCTAGAGGGAGCCAAAGGAGTTAACTGTGGTAGGATGAATACCGATGTGACATCGCCCGTTATTCATTGTTTTGATGGGATGAGGACACGTCGTTCTCAATCTGATTTCGCCAAGATTTGTCCCATCCCTCGTACGGACATACTGCAGAATCGCGTGACCGAGCTGTAAAGTGATGCTCTTGCGTAAGCGCTGGGAAGTTTGCTTTTTCACGTAGGCTCTTGCCATAACTTTGCCAGACTTCATCAGCTTTTGAACGAAGATCAGATGGAAGGCTTTTCCGATGTCGCCGCCAACGTTTTAACAATTATGTCGCTCTCTGCTCTGACTCAACCGGGAGTTTTAGGATTCTTGGTACTCTTCCTTCATAATTTAGTGAAAGAGTTAGCTGTTTGACCATCGCATCACGTTATCCAAGGAAAGTGTTTCACGAGTGAACGACCACTGTTCTAAATCGTGCTTATCGAACTCCTGACTATCGTGGTAAGAAAGTTCTAGCATGACAACGATAAAGATAACGCCTTGACAATCCAGCTTGCTGTGTCCATCCGAGAATTTTACTTTCGATTGACTCGTGCTCCAATTGACCTCAGGATAGATGCGTAACCTACTATGTCCCTGTTTTAGCTCACTTGTAGAGCGTAAAAGGTTTTCTGCCTCAATGGCCAATCCCAGTGTTAATCTAATAATTCTGGATTCGCCATAGTGTGCAGACTTAGGGAGACGAGTAACTCGCACTAGGTTTGTGGGTTTGACTCTTACGTCCATCAAAATGCACAGTAAGTATCCCTTGTTTTGGTCGTCAAACAACTTACCCCGCAATGTTCTTGCGGTAGACGCGGGGAAATTGGTATGCACGCCAGTTACGACGTTATTGTTGGAGCCCATTTTGTGAAAAATCAGAGTGAGGTCATCGTTGATCCTAACTTTATGCCGAATAATGGTGGCCTGCTGTTTGTCGTTTTATTGGCGCTAACGGTGTTTGCAACTAAGCAAACATTAGATGTAACATCTCGAGGGTCATTTTCAGCGATCTCTGCATGTAGAACTGGAGCGTAGGGGGAAATGAACTCAGCCCGAGACCTTTGGGTTTCAGACGCAGTAGACCCTGTTAATGATACAAGTTGTCACCACCGGCTGAATTTGATCGTTCACACCATTCTGGTCCTTCTTGAAATTTAGGGTCCTGAATACCGTTTGTTTTTCAGAACTACAGTTGGTTTTCGCCCGGCGTTCTTCCAAAATTGTAGGAGATAACGGCAACGCAGACGTTGGCAATCGTAGTTAGAGCGAAGCAAATGTTGCATCATAGCTGCTCTTTGAAGCCGCTGTGTCGCCCTGGTGCATGCTCGCTTCTAGTGATATAATCGTAACGTTCGTTCGTTGTTCAACTTCTTCTGCTAACCGGAGATGCATGCGTTTGGCTAGTGGGGTCGTCGAACGCGCATTA